CGAAACCTAGTATTATTACCACTAGAGTTTAGTTTATTATTCGTCGAGACTAATTAATAGTCTAGCTATTATTATTATTATATAAGCGTCAAAAAAATACTTATATAACCCATAATAATAGCCAAGTATTTATTATAAGTTCCTAATAACGTTACTATAATTAAATAAAAGTTATATTAAAAATAGCGTAGGCGTAGCTCACTTACAGCGGGTTTTATAGAAAACCGGGCTTTGCTTGGAGCAGCGTTCCCGAGCCGAAAAGCTCTTCTTCTCAGAGCCTTCGAGCACTCCGGGGCTTCCGCCTCGTGCTAGGGAGGTTCCCTAGGCTTTTCGGGGGATTTCGGGGCTAGAGAGAGGTTCTAGAGAGAGAGAGAGAGTAAAGAGAAGAAAGAATGGGAAAGGTGTGAAGAAAATGAGGGTGGGAGAGGTGGTATTTATAGGGTGAAATGTGGCTGAACTTGGTGCCACATGTCACCATCTGGTGGCAAGCCTTGGGGAGAAAGCAATGGCCAAGATTGTGCCACATCACCCATTTTCGCACAGCACACTTCCGACTTCTAAAATCCGTAACTTTCACATACGACCTCCGTTTTTGACGTTCTTTATATCCACGCGTAGGTAATAATAAGATCTACAACTTTCATTTTGACACCGTCAGCTAATTCTCGACCGATCTTAAATTTAACAGTACAAGGAGATTATACTGTTAAACGTCTGCGTAAAATTAATAACTTCTACATACGGACTCTGTTTTTGTCTGTCTTTTTACCGTTGATTTCCTATTAATGAGATCTTCAACTCTCATTTATGTTGCGTAAGCCAAAAACTGCTTGAACTAAAATTCGAGTTTCAGGCCGTGCACTGCTAAGCCGAATCTTAGAAAAATCATAACTTCTTCATACGAAGTCAGATTTGGGCGTTCTTTTTATCGATGTTCTTAGTTTAACATATTCTACGACTTTTGTTTAGATTGCTAAGGCTAAAAAGTCTTCTATCGTAAATTCACTATTTACGTTTCCCGGTGTCGTGCCGGTTTTGTCGTAAAACTTCGGCGGGCCATAACTTCTTCTTTATAGCTCGGATTTCGGCATTCTTTATATGCACGGAAACCTTGAGACATATTCTACAACTTTATGTAGAGATATCGGGATTATCTCACACTTTAATTTTGACGCTCATTTTTATTCTTTATTAATTATACATTTATAATTAAATAATAAACACATAAACACACATAATTCACATAATACTCAAATATTTCATATTTATTACTTCAAAAAGAGTTACAATAGTTGACCTAGACTATTACATTGACAAAAATGCTTAGCCCTGAAAACCCGGGCGTTACACAGACCGAGGTCCGGTCTAACTGGGGCCTTGCCCCCTGCATCAGACCGAAGTCCGAAAACTGACTGGGACCTTGTCCCCTGCATCGGACCGAAGTCCGGACTAACTAGGGCCTTGCCCCCTGCATCGGACCGAAGTCCGGAAACTGACTGGGACCTTGTCCCCTGCATCGGACCGAAGTCCGGACTAATTGGGGCCTTGCCCCCTGCATCAGATCGAAATCCGGAAACTGACTGAACTTAGTATAGCATAACATATCAACTAGCATGAACACATATACTGCATACTGCATCGGGCCGTAGCCCGGAACACATAACACATAACAAATATCACATAAATCCTGTCTGAGCCACGAAGGCATCAAACATACTAACTACTGCATCGGACCGAAGTCCGGAAACTACTTCTAACTGAACGGGTCGGCATTGTGGCCGTAGACCCGTTCCTACTGGAAGGAAACTCACCTGCACTGGCTGAACTTGCTGATGATCTCACTAGCTGCTGCCCGGCAACTCACTGAACTCCTGCTCCCCTTGCTCCCTGAACTACCAATATCAAAGCAATACTGAGTCTAACTGACCCCCGAAAGATAACCAAGTCAACCCTGGTCAAAGTCAACCTTCCAGGTCAACCCTACTCGCCGAGTCACCCTACTGACTCGCCGAGTACAAAATGTTCAGATTCCTTCCATTCGCATCTCGATTCGCCGAGTCAGTCCATGACTCGCCGAGTGTACTGGTTTCTGAGTCCTGACCTGTCCAACTCACTGAGTCTCCACCTGACCCACTGATTTGAGTCTCAACTCGAAGGGTTTGGGGTTTCGCAACCAGACTCGCCGAGTACAAGGCAATCTTCATCTGACTCGACGAGCTGTTCATCCCACTCGTCGAGTTGCTCAACTACTTCATGCTACTCGCCGAGTCCATTCAAAGGACTCACCGAGTCCATTCGAATCCCTCTACATGCAGAGGGCTATTGAGTCATGCATGGACTCAAAACTGTAGATCTACCCTTCCCAAGCCTATTCCTCACGTAAAGTTGCAAACTTTACGTGTAGAGAATGAGATCTAGACAAAATACACCATGAAATAGGGTTTAAGGCAAAGAGGATTCATGATCCACTCAAGGGCTGATACTTTGTGCTTCTCACGACCATCACATGCTTAGATCTGAAGTAGCAACTTCAGATCTGGCTTCTAACTTGAAAGAATAACATCATGGCTAAAAACTCCAACAACAACACATAGATCTAGGTGCAAAGAGGGGTCCAAGAACTAGTTTATTACCTCCAAATGCTCAGAATGAACTCACAATCCTAGATCTATAGTCCTTTCTTGCTCCTCCAAGCTCCTTCTTCCTTCTTCAAGCTTCAATGCACCTTCCAAGTCAATAAATGGATCAATCAATGGATGTGACGGCTAGGGTTTGATGTCATGGGTGAAAGAGGCACTAAAGGAACCTTAGGGAAGAGAATGCGGCATTTAAATAGGCTCCAAGTCCCGATTTTAGGGTTTTCCTCGTTCAGACCAGACTCACCGAGTCGGTCGCTTACTCCTCGACCCGGATCCCGCTCGGACTCGCCGAGTCTCCCCTTAAAATTGGGGTTTTCTTTCTTTTCTTGGCTTTCCAAACTTTGGGTGTTACACTTAGAGGATTCAGGATGATTCTTAAGAAAAGTACGGATAAGTGTGGAAGGTAGTATTGGGCCCGTACTACTGAAAGCACAAGATCCATACTCGAATCAAAGAAAGTCACGAAGATTACATGGGGTCTCCATAATGAGAAATTCTTTGGGCATGTTATGATCCTTTGTGTGGTTGCTTTTCAGTATGGTGACAAGCATTCGTGGATGAGGTTCTGGTTCAGGTTCTGATGTTGAGCCGATTGATGAAAGGATACATGAGTTTGTTATGTTTAAGGTTACTCACATTATTTTGGATGTGACTCGTGTGATGTTTAGAGGATTATGGAGCTACTGGATGAGCGGGTTAGGGATTTTAGTGCAGAGATTGCAGCTGGTCAAATCGGAGCACAAACACTCTATCTTCGGGAGTTCAAGTCTTGCGGAGCCCCATAGTTCCTCAAGGAGAAGGACCGTATTGCTAGTAGGCAGTGGATTACTGACATGGGAGATGCTCGACGGGCTAGTAACTACTTTGAGGGGTTGAAGGCGGGATTTGCATTCTACCTTCAGAGGGATATAACTCGTGATTGGATTGTTGTTGAGGCCTCACAAGACTTATAAGAGGAGTTAACTCGCCTTATTAGACATATCTCTGATATGTTGGTCACCAAGTTTGAGGAGAAGATTGCATCCGTCCAATCAACTGACAGGATTGATAAGGTAACACAGGAGTGAGAGCTTGGTTTATAGATACAGCTAGGAAAGAGGAAGTGGACTCGTGACCCGATTCTGCTAGCAACATCTAAGAAGCTTAATGTTGTCGTATTAAGTATTGGAGGCCAAAGGGACCATGACACTTACGTTAAGGGTGGAGGAACCCACGAGCCTATGCACTGCAAGTTCATATGTGGCAGGTGCGGACGGAAGGGCCATGTTCGCCATGACTGCACCCTAGAGGTAGAGTTATGTCATTGTTATCATCAGGCTGGTGATATTAGGGCAAATTGCCCACGTTTGACGAATGGGGCGGTTCAGACCCCATCATCCGCGATTTTTCAAGAAGTAGAATCAGGACCTCAGGACCTCATGTGCGTGTGGATCTCGCATCGGAAGCCTCTGAGCAAAGATCTTGTTGTAGCTGGTTGTCCCTATTCAACAATGAAGATAGGGGTTCAAAGGTGCTTGTGCTCCTCAGGTAAAGAGAAAGAGACAAGAAAATTATAAAAACAATGATGTCTTTCTAAGCACAATCAACAAGCGAAGTATTACTTGACACGCTCCAGAAACTCGTAACGCACAAACCCTAAATGATTATGGTTTCTGTCGCGAAGATGCATCACAACGACATGATCTGTTGAGCAAAGAAGGTAAGATGGTTCCTCGTCAATATGAGGGGATTCTCTAGCAATATGCAAGGGTTCATCATTGATGTTGTTATAGGGGTTATCCGACAAAAGGAGGTCGCAAAAGGCAAAGGGAAGTCAGATGATGATATGGGTAATTGAAATGACATATTGTGAACACAATAGTGGGGAAGATGCCATTAGGAAAAAAGTAGGATCACTTATTATATTTCCTTAATAATAAAAAAACACTACTATCTTCTAAATAAGTTTTAAAACATAAGTATATGGTAAATATTTATTAAAATACAATACTTTGGTAAAGAAAACTCATCATAATCTATCTTTAAGGGAAGACGGAGTCATATGCAGTTTGGATGATGGGATGGGGCGGTATCGACAGGTTGTGGTGGGTTGGACGGATTTATGCTTTGCAACTGGTTGGTGAACATGCTTCAATCCTTTACTCCTCATGCATTGAGGACTTGTACTAAAATAATTTTGTATGTTGGTAAATTAGTTTGTATATTTTTAATATTTTATAAATTAGTTTTGTATAATTTTTATTAGTATGTGTTTATTTTAAAATTAAAAATTAAGTGTATTGAAAAAAATAAGATTTTCATATGTTTTGAGTTAGAAAAGATGATAGAAAGGAAAGAGAAAAACTGATATGAAATTAAAAGTTATAAAAAAAAACGTTATAAACTCATCTGAGTAACCCTAATGTTACAAAACTATATATAGCAACGAGCTTACTTCAATTTCCAAAACACATTTATTCATTATTTACCAACACATAACATATGCTGTGTTTTTATGATAATAGATATGAAGTAGTCGATATAATACAAAAGAATAATAACACATAATTAATTAAGATTCCAAACCCAAAACATTAAACCTATTGTGCATCACCACATGTTCTTTGTAAATCCGAAACCCTCACTTCACATATCCCAAAGCAGACCATGAACATGCACACACAACGTTTTTTTTTTTTTTTTCCCTCTTATTCGCAATTTACATTTTAGCTTCCCAACACCTGAAAAAATTAAAATATTTATTAAAAAAAAAAACAGAAAACAGCAATATAAGAAGTAGGTGAAATGTGAAAATAAACCTCTAAAATACATCCAAAGCATTATCCAACATGGCACCATCTTCCCATTGAATATCTTTCGCTGTCGAATCTTTTCCAATCAACTCAAGTGGTGAATCCAGCTCTGGTGGGCTCTACATGGAAATGTTTCATGGATTAATAATAATAATAATTAATAAAAAAATGAATGAAAGTAAAGTAAAGTAAAGTAGATTAGAAAATTAGATAGCATACCATGCATCGGATTAAAGGCCAATTAATTCCACGGAAAAATGCGTGTTCTTTTATTGCATTGGAACCACCGATTGATCCTAAACGGCTTCCAGGGTCTCTGTTCAATAATCCATGAATCAGCTGTCTTGCTGCAAGGCTCACCTAAAAAAAAATTAAAAATTAAAAGGTTAGGGTTAATTTGGTCTTTTTGACTAGTTAGAAATTTTGCATATAGTTTAGACTCTTACGGGAATGCTACTTGGAAATGTGAGGTCTTTATGCAAGATGTTTGCAAATGTCTTCTGCCTATTCTTTCCTCTAAATGGTGTACGACCATACAACATCTCATATAATAAAATACCTGAAATTAAAAAAAAAAAAAAAAAAGAATATAATAAAAAATTAGTTAAAGTATTGAAATAATGAATTAATGGGTAAAAGAAGGTAATTCAAAGAATGCATGAAAATTAATAAGCTTGCTTACCCACTGCCCACCAGTCAATAGCACTGGAGTGGCCGGCTCCTGTTATGATTTCCTGAAATAATTTCAAAGGGTAAAAATAAATTCCATGAGTAAGTGAAATTACGTAAATGCCCTTTGAGTGCTTTTTCGTACCGGAGCAATGTATTCTTCTGTGCCAACGAATGAATTAGATTGTGTAGAAGGTTCTGCAACAAATGTAGGTGGTGGTTGGCTTCTGGATCTTCTTCTTTTGAGCTGAGGGTGTTTTATAACCTGCAAAATTAAAATTAACATAAGACAAAAATAAATAAATAAATAAATCAAGAATCTTGTAAGAATATAAGTTAGATTTTTTAGATAGAAGAGGACAATATTACATACTTGGGGTTTACATTGAGTTCTGAATGATAAATCAAAGTCACTCAATACAACATGTCCATCTGTTTGAAGTAATATATTCTCCGGTTTCAAGTCCCTATAGATGATACCTGAAAAAAAAATTGAATAAAAGATGTAAGGGGTAAAATGGGAATATAACAAATTAACAATTGAATGAGATTGGATGAAGAGATACCTAAACAATGGAGATACTCTAACCCAATTACAACCTCAGCTGCATAGAATCTGCAGATACAAATAAAAAAATGAGGGGTAGGGGTAAAACGGGAATAAACATGCATACAACAACATCAAACCACAGATGAAATGTATAAGAGGGCAGGTTTTTTCATCGTTTATTAAAAATAATAGTATTTTTGAATCTTTAGCATCTATTTCCTATTAAACAGAAAATGAAGGGTAGAAAGGTCTTTTAAAATGTGAATAGGAAGTACCTTGCAGAATCTTCTTTGAATAATTTCAAAGGCTGTTTGTCAAGCAGAGCAAATAATTCTCCTCCAGGGCAAAAGTCTGTTATCAAACAGACATGTGTTGCAGTCTGAGAAGATGTTAACATGTTAGCATATAGTTATAGATTATAATAATTAAACCTAATTATAAATTTAAAATAATTACTACCAATTATTTAAAACATTAAATTGAAACCTCAAAAGATGTGTAGAGTGTTGGAAGGAAAGGGTGATCCAGTAGCCCGATTATTTCCCTTTCAATGCAAGCTCGATGAACCTACAATTTATTTACATAAAAAAAAAAAAAAAATCAAGTTTCAAAAACTATACAAATTTTAAATCATAATAAAAAAAAAATAGAATATTGTTTTTTACAAACATTAAACATACCTTGTTTCTGTTCATCATTACTGCTTTATCCATTGCTTTCATGGCAAAAAGTTCACCGGTATTTTTTAGTTCAACCAAATGAACACTACAATAAAGCAATTTAATTATTCATAGTGAGAAACTTTAGAAAATATAAACCCTAACTCTATTTTTTTTTTCCTTTTTGATTAAATTGTTAAAAAAATTGATTATAATGGAAATTGGAAAAGTCAATGAACATATTAAGACAATATACCTTCCGGTATCTCCACTTCCCAAAGGTCTGATAGGTTTGAAATGATCAAGTCCGATTATTTCACCATTTGCAGTGATCTACAAAACAATAAAAAAAAAAGGTAAAAAAAAATTGTTGCATTTAAAAAAATAATAATAATAAAAGTTACCTTTTGTATAGCTTTCCATGAAGAATTGTACTTTTTGTGGGGCCTAGGAAAGACAGGTTGAGAGTGGATAGCCCACAGGTCCTCTGGCCTCTGAAATTATTCATCAGCCAAAAATAAGTAAAAACATATACTAAAGGTAATAAAAAAAAAGGTTAATTTCATTAATCTCATAAAAAGCCTTATATTGTGTTTTTTTAAAGCCTTATATTGTGTTTTTTTCCGGAAAAAAAAAATGTCTGAAAAAAACTTTGTATTTTTTCATTTTTTTCAATCTGACCCTTTTAGTAATTTTTTTTTCCGAAAAAAAGAAAAAGAAATCTCTTATAAAGTCCCAATATTTTGGGTCATTTTACGGTTTCATTTCAACTTTTATTTTTTGAACAGAAACGTCTCGTTTATTTTATATTTTGCCAAAATTAACAAAAAAGTCTTTATTTTTTTTTTCTTTCAACAAATTATCGTATAAATTTAGATAATCGGGACTTTTCTGTTCAGAAGATAAATGTTGGGATTAAACCGTAAAACGACCCAAAATATTAGGACTTTATCAAAGATTTCCCAATAAAAATTGTAAAATGTGAGGGTTTTTTCGAAAAAACTAAAAAGGTTGAGGGTTTCTTCGCAAAAAAAAAAAAAGACAAAGTTAAGGGTTTATTGGAAAAAATGAAAAAATACAAGGTCCTTTTTAGGTAAAAAATAAAGTTGAGGTTTAATTCGAAAAAAAACACAAAATACAAAGTTTTTTACAAAATTAACCCAAAAAAAGATGACATGGTAAATTGATAAATATTTTATCATTTTGATATGTAATATTTTCACGTGTCATTTTTAATATTATAATATATTTATTATTTACAAGTAGAATACTAAGGAAAGACGAGTACCTTACCAAGTTGGCATCAGGAAGTTCTCTAACAGCTTCATCAACATTTTCTGCAGTAGCTTTGACCTGGTCAAACACAACAATTTTAAACATTTTAAAATATTTGAAAAGAAAAGGCTAATATATTATTATATATATTAAAAGACAACAATAAAAAAAATATACCAACTTAGCACTTTGTTTCTCTGTGGTGTCTGAAAGTCGATTCCTTAATGGTTCCACATTACCACTTCCATCTAATTGGACTCCAATAAAATATTGAAGTTCTCCCTGAATTTTAAAAGTAATTAAAATTGACTCAAATTACATAATGCAACCATATATTTAATAAATTTTTGTACTTTACCTTTTGGTCACGCATAGGTTGCAAGTGAAATAAATTCCAAAATTTCTTCCCTGATTTGAACAACAGACAAAATAAATCAATCAACATAAACCCAATCATTAGAGTAAATTACATTTTTGTCACTGACTATAGCTGATTTTTGCAATTTGGTCCCAAAAATACAATCATCTTACTTGAAACATAGACCATAAATGTGATATAAACCACAAATAAGGAGAAAAATTGCAAGAGAAACTTTTTGGGACCAAAATAGAAAAGATCAGCTATACTAAGGGACCAAATGTGTAAATATTTCTTGAAATTAAGAAATATGAAATTATAGCTCACCACTCTTTGTATAGTTAATCAACTGTACAGTAATTTCCCTTTGTTCTCTGATAGCAGCTCGTATTTTATCAACAGTTCCTTGATCAGTTTCAGGTCCTTGTAGAAACCTGCAATTTCTTCCTAAAATTTCCTCACGTGTAAACTCTGTCAACTCAAGGAAGCTATCTGATGCGAAAATCTGCATATCAAGTAGGAGATTTAGGGTTCCATTTTTATGATCTGAAACAAAAAGAATGTTTAATCATGTTCTTACGATGGGGTTATCAGGAAGCCTAGGATCTGTGATCACAAAATTCTTTTCAATACGTTCAAGTGTAGTTGCTAAATCAATCCCTTGACGCATGTCCCTCATTCTTTCCATACGACCCCAGCTATCAGTTCGTGATAAATCTTTAGTCATTAACTCTTCAGGCTCGATAGTTGGTTGAAACTCATGAGTCGAAGATCTTCCTTTGAATCTGTGTAGGTTATTCAACGATTTTGACATTGATTTAGGGTTTAAATAAATCAAATCAACTTCAGAAAATAGATATAAGCTCACCCCATTAGGGAACTGCGTATTGATTTCCTGGATTTGGATGCACTCCAAGAGCTTGTAGGGGTTGAATCACCTTTAGGATCAAGGAGAGGTGTTTCTCTTCCTGGTGTATTCATGTTTATGTTCAATTTTTCTAATGATGGTGAAATTGGGGATTCCACGATCTTCTCCACGATTTCTGTTTTGCTTGACTGATTGTTAGTTCGTGGACGCTCAACAGTCTGTACAACCTCCACAATATCACCCAGAGCTGTTTCCTTCTGACGAGCTGTCCATGGCGAAAATTAAAGCTTCAAAAAAACACTTTGATTCATAATATACACAGCAAAAACAACAGATCGATCTACGAACCATCATAGCGAATTAACGACGTTGGCAATCCGTTTGGGCGTAATTCCTTCTCATTCACACCTTCAGTGTACTTGCTGACTTCTACTTGCATTCTGTGAATTCACAGTAACAATATGATCATAAACATCAAACTATAACCTAAAATAGTACAGTTCCACGGAATGCGAAATTTGCCTAATATTATTACGATTGAAGTAGATCAGAAGATAAATTACCCGATGAATTTGATGGTTTTTCCGTTTTCATCTTTGATCGGAGTGACAGTGAGTAGATTCCAGAAAGGAGTGCCATCTTTTTTGTAGTTGTAGAGCCTGCCGCAGTAGCTAGTTCCGGTTTTGACTGCATGTCGTATTTTATCCACCTCCTTCTGATCCGTCTCCTTCCCCTGTAGAAACCGGCTGATCCAACAAACATCAATTTCAGAGAGCTTCTTAACTTTCTAAAATGGCGTCTGTTGTGTTTTGTGTAAATCGGAATTGAGATGCTAATATGAATGTGATACACTGATAGAATCACTGTAACGGCACACCGGTGCACCAGGATCTCCGACGGAGCTTGGTGCACCACCGTCCCACTCCGGTTGTTTCATTATGAATCGAATCGATCGACCGAATTTTGTACATTTGAACGTTACATATTTCTTATGCCAAAAAAGTGTAGTTAAAATATATTTAAATAAATAAATAAAATAATATTATAATTCCAAAAAAGTTATATATGATAGTAAATAAAATATAGACAAATTTAATTTGAGTAATAACACTTGTTTGACATATAAATGATATTTGATATAACAAAACTAAATAAATAGTCTACAAACATAACGTAATTCTATCACATATTCTTGTTCAAAAAAAATTAAATTCATATAATACTTACTAGTTTACAAACTTGTATATATTCATGCATTTGGATAATTATATATTTTTAGCATTTTTACATTTGAAGTTAATATATAATCTGATAATACTTTGGGTTAACTAAAGACAAACTTTGAAAGTTTGACATGTAAAGGATATTAGGCAAAAATCTAAACATATAAAGATAGACATGTTAAGGTTATTAGACAAAAATCTAAACATTAGATCCAAACAACACACGATTCTATCACATGTTAACGTGGAATCATGTTTATGTGTTTGATTGAAACTTGAAAAAATTTGTCTTGTTGTTTGATTTATTTTATAATTAAATTATTATTTTTAATGATTATTTAGATAGTAGTTAATGTCTAACTAAAAAAGAAAATTAAATACTTTAGTGACAAAAATCATAAAATCATAAAAATACATTTTACTTTTTCTAGATAACTTGTCGCATCTTATTTATTAAAAAATAAAAGAACATAGTAATTTAATCATCAGAAAAATGGTTAAATGATTATAGTTATAAAATTACAAGTATTTTTATTTTCAAATTCTGACATAGTATATATAAAACGCAAGGCATAGCGTATTAGCATTACCAGTTTCTACCAATGACCTCTTTTGAAGAATAACCAGTCATCGTAAAGAAGCCGCTGCTAGCATACATAATCGGGCAATCCGGCTTAGTGGCGTCGGAGACGACGAATGTCTGTTGAAGAGTAGCCAGAGCATCCTTCAATTCCTGCGAGACTCGCGGTTGATTCAAATCGTCGGAATTCCTCCACGACGACGATGAGCTCCGCTTGTTTCTCTCCTCATCTCCTATCAAACTTGCGACCGCCGTCGCTCCCGGCCATTGCGCCGTCCGTTCGGCGATATGATCGATGTCGTATTCATCTAGATCAGGTGGAGTGATTCTAGCTGTTGGAGGTTTGTTTTGATTTGAATCTCTGTCGAATGCCATCCATTTGTTTGTTGACGTTGGTTTACTACTACTCTTTGTGCTCGATTCAGCATTTGAACTTTCCATTAATCACTGATTTTTAGGGTTTTTATGGTCCCTTCCACCTAAATGTAAAAAACAATAGAAGAACTCAGTTAATAACTTTATTTTGTTTATTTAATCAAAACATATTATATACGCTTAAAATCATGTTAATTACTATAATAACGATTCGATTTTGTTGATAAAACTTTTTTTGGTGTGGTCATTTTCAACCCTGATATTAGATAAATATACAAGAATTATGTAATTTTAACACAAACATCTTTTCCAAGAAATCAGATATACCTTTATTTATTTATTTTTTTATCGAAAAGACTGACTTTAACTTTTTTTATTTTTTATTATTATTATCTAATTTACAAATTTTCGGTCCATAAAAAGGTCATTTCTTAAAAAGTTCTAATTTTTTCTTGGAAATAATTTATGTTTACTTTTTACTATATTTGCTCACTTTTCGGTATGAAAAGGTGATACCACGTAAAAAAACAAAACAAAAAAAACCGTTGTCTTTTGGTTTAAATTATAAATAAACTATGTTGAAAATGAATTATCAAAAATGTTCAATCAATCGGACTCGAATAGTCAAATATCAAATTAACAAAAATGGGTAGTTTTTAAGCATGTGTTGGTGATAATACCTTTTGTCGTATTTTATTAATAATTCTACCCAAATTGTCAATTTAATATCCTAACCATATTCCAAATGAAACAGTTTCACATATCCTAATACCTTTCAATATAATCTAATTTCTTTTTGTTTTATTGGTTATCAATAAAACAACTAACTACACCTCAAAATAATCAAATTGTCTTTAAATTTGATGGATCAAAATTGTCATCACGTATTCAGAATTTTCCAAATTGTAGACGAATAAGCTATAAAGTCAAAACAGTCGAAGCTGTAATGACTTGTAACTTTCGTCTGAATACTTGTAAATGGAGAAGAGTAGATAAATAAACATTAAAGGAAATGAGAGAGTACCTGTGGAAAGGATATAATTGGAAATGATGCAGCAAATGGACGGAAGCAAGTGGAGTTTATGTGTGTGTTTTTGTGAGGGAAAAATGAAAATTTGGAGAGGAGAGATATGGAGAGATAATTTGTTCGTTGAAAAGATAATGTTTAGCCACGTGTCATGATAATAGCCAATAGTGGGATAATTTGGTACGGCTCATACTGTGACCACGCGTCTCCCTTCAAATAATTCCCCTTCATGGTCACATTATATCATATCATGATATACAAAAGAACAAGATTGGGATTTAATGTTTTGTTATGTCTTGTTACCTTATCTTGTTTTGTATAAAGTATAACATATGTTATATTATGTTGTGTTTTATAGATGGAACAATGGAGATAAGAAAATGAGTAAAGAAGGTTATTATTAGTAAAATAAGGTTTTTGTGATGTTTTATGGGATGAGATGATATCAAGGTTTTGTATGGTGATTATATGATATGAAGCATTTTTCATGTACATAATCTCACATGATTTAACTTTGTGGTAGTCTATTATTTTTAAAAAAATATGTTATATTCTACAATGTCATTTGAAATGAAATATACATTTTTATATAAGTGTAACGTTTCCGAAAAGAGTATAAAATGAGAATTTGTTTGTGTTAGAAGGTATATGATATGATTTTTTAAGATAAAGAATTACAAGATTGGTGTAGTATAATATAACAGAAAGTATGAGTTTATCGATAAACACAAGTTTACACATACATGTAAGTTGCAACCAAGCTATGGGGTTCAATGTGACATCTTACACCGTGTATCAAATCATGTAAGTGAAATACCCTATTATAAACATACATTTCAATCAGCATAAACTCATAGACATTATTTATAATGATGTCCAACAAAACAGAAGCATAAATAACCCTTAAGAGCATCAAACATAACTCGATTGTTACAAAAGATAGACAAAACTGTTAGAATTAATTGTATGTTTTATATTTATTGTATAGTGTAGGGGTCTCTCTCTAAATATTATATTTATATATTGCAATGGAATATACAGAAATCTTAACGGGTATTTTTTCACAGTTCAAACATGGTATCGAGCCTACTCTTTTTTCGCCAGTCGTAAGAATCATGTCTCAGCTTCCTCTCTATTGGCGCTCTCTTCCCGGTCTACAATGTTTTTTCGGTGTTGCCTTCCTTGTCGAAGACCACTTTGTCTACTGTCACTTGCTAGTGTCATCCTTACTTGCTACCGGAATTTTTTCTGCAGCACCACTCGTCGCTGCAATTATTAATTGGTGCTACCTAACTCCACTTTTGATCTATGCGCTTCACTGCTCCCTTGGTGTTCACTTAGTCTAATACCAAGGCTACAATCCTTCTACATGCGATTAGTATTCCGATCTTTGTTTTGTCTTTTATTTCATACGTTTTTTTCTATTTTCGGGCTTATATCAACTCCTATCGGTTCCTCGAGTTCCTTACCGGTATCTCATCAGTTAGTTGACGCTGATACAAATGTTAACAACAATTTACTTTTAAATACACAGTTGATGGTTCGAAATACGAATTGTGGCATAGCATCTTTCTTGACATTTGTAAGGGTGCAAAGGTGAGCAGCCACATCAATGCCAAATCTAAACCCTCTAGTGATGATGATGAAGATTGGGAGTGTAACACCCAAAAATCTGAAAGGCCAAAAAAGGAAAGAAAACTCTAAGTCAAAGGGTCAACTCGTCGAGTCCAGGGAGGAACTCGACGAGTCGGAGCGGGATCCGGGAGATCGATTAAGTAGCCGACTCGGCGAGTCGGCAAAGAGGACTCGGCGAGTCCGATCTGAAGAGGGAAACCCTAAATCCGAGACTTTATGCACTATTTAAGCATCTTATTCTCTCCATTAGGGTTCCTTGGAGCCTCTCTCATCCAGAAACTAAAACCCTCAGCCTCCATTGTTTCATATTCAAGTCTCTTGCCATTTTTGGGTGATTTGAAGGAAGAAGGAAGGAAGGAATCATTGGGGCTTCAAGTATTGGCTCTAGATCCAGAGTTTGGGTCACCTTTCAGAGTTATTGAAGGTATTAAGTCGTTACTTTCACCCTTCTTCATCTAGATCTACCTTGGTTATGAGTTTTGGGGCTTTTATGCCATGTTTAAGAACCAATTCGAGTTAGAAGCCCGGATCTAAAGTTGCTACTGCAGATCTAAGCATATCTTGGCCTAGACAAGCATAAAGTAACTACCTTTAGGTTTATTGTAGAGCCTCTTTGTCTTAAACCCTAGTTTATAGTGTTTTGAGCCTAGATCTCCTTAGCAACACGTAAAGTTTGCTACTTTATGTGTGGAATAGGCTTTAGAAGAATGGATCTGCAGTTTGGAGTCCATGCATGACTCAAAAGCCTTTGAATATATGAAGGACTCAATAGACTCGGTGAGTCCTTCGAGTGGACTCGGCGAGTAGGATGAAGATGGAGATGAACTCGACGAGTTGGATGAATAACTCGGCGAGTCTGTTGAAGATTGCCTTGGACTCGGCGAGTCAAGTCGCGAAACCCCAAACCCTTCGAGTTAAGACTCAGATCAGTGAGTTGAGCGGGGACTCAATGAGTTGGACAGGACAGTACTCGGAAATTGGTAGACTTGGCGAGTCAGGGGCTGACTCGGCGAGTCGAGTCGCGAATGAAAGGATTCTTAGTGTCACACCCCAAACCGGAACGACGAAAATGTTCTGGGGTGGATGACGTCATGTCAAGTATCACAACACATGCATTATAGTAATCAAAGTACAACAAAACATTGCATTAATAGTAATAGTTTTACATAGTTCACATAACAGGGTATCAAAGTAATACAGACAAATGTAATAAGAACAACATGGTACTAAGCTATCTTCATCAACAGCTCCGGGGATGTACCTGTCTAATGCTAACCTGAGAATACAAGTTATTTGAAAAGCGAGTATAAACATTTTTGTAGCACCTGGTTCCTGGTATGTAAATCTTATTTGAGTATTTCCATTTTTAGCCTTGGACTCGACGAGTCATAGGTCCGACTTGCTGAGTAGGGACGAGACCCGGGACACGTTTAAGTTGGCGACTCGGCGAGTCCATATCCTGGACTCGACGAGTCACCGCTGTTGGATGAAACCCTAAGTTTCAGGGGTTTGCACCCTATTTAAACCTCATATCCGCCCCTTTCCAGCCCCCATTCACCCCCAGAGCTCCCATCCCCCGTTCTAAGCTTGTTCCTTGAGAGTTTGAGGCTATTGTGTGTGTTCTTGAAGGCTTTGAGGCAAGAAGGAGAAGTAGATCAAGAGGAAGGAGAGCCATCCAAGCATCATTGTGTTCTTTCAGCAGTTTCATTGAGGTATACCCTATTTCCCCATGTTTCCATGCTTAAGGTTTCATTTAAGACATTCTTGAGCCATTCCCCAAGCTAGTATGTGCATAATGTTTCGTAATAAGTTGTTTGGTGTCACACCCCCGAACCAGACGGCGGAAACGTCCGGGGGCTGTTGTGACTCAATTGAATACCATCACAATGAATATACATGAAACATAACATCATACATCACCAAGCATTGGAATAATACAACTGGTAGTGTTCACATTTAGTACATTGTTCCCTAACATTACATGCCCAAAAAGTAGATTGTTCGGTGCTAATTAAACAAGCAGCAAAACGTCACTGAGTACACTTATCCCTTCGATTTATCTGTTACCTGAGAATACAAGTATTTTGAAAAACGTTAACATATGAAATGTTGGTGAGTTCATAAGTAATGTTTGAAATCCAATGTTTGTATTGTTTCGAAAACCACCAGAAAATCCGATATTTTCTGAAAATAGTATAGCGTAAAAAAAATATGTGAAGATCCGTGAGTATGCTTGTTTGTTTTCTATAGATGTAAGCGTACGAGTTGTGAAATTCGGCATGTAGTTCGTAAGTGTACTAGTTGAAAACCCTAGGAAAACCTGACGTTTTCCTATCACTTTGCTTTAATTAGTTTATGTGTTATTGTTTCGTTACGTTAGAGGTATTCGTTGAGCTCTGGAGGC